AAAAAAAAAAAAAAAAAAAGTCGAACCAAGCCATTTGGCTAGGTTGTAAAGAAAAAAATCGGAGCTAGCCGAGTCGAGCTAGTTGGCTCGATTGTTAAAAAAAAAATTAAAAAATAGTCGAGCCGAGCCATCATGGCTCGGCTGGACTTCACGGATTATGAATAGTGTTTCCAAATTCACTCTTTTTATTACGTTAAATTATTTTTGATATTTAAAATTTATTGATCATATATTTATCATGACCGCACTTTAAAATTTCAAACAAATTTTAAGTTGTTTAAAATGAATATTTGTAACTTAAAATATTGAAAAAAAAAATGCTTAGCCGAGCCGAGCCATCGAGCCATTCGGCTCGGCTCGGCTCGGCTTATGAACAGTAAAAAAGTGACTCTTTTTATTTATGTAGGATAAAAATCAAAAACATAAAAATAGTTTCCGTGATTCAAGATAATCAAATCAACAATAATAATAAGTTAATAATATAGCCAATGTTTGGTCTAAATTAAAATCTGATTTTAATCCAAATCAAAGTCAAACAATCAATATTAACCACATCTTTTATGAGTTTCACAACTTTTCAACCATACATTTCAAAATTTTCTATCACGATCTACTAAAAATTTAATTTTAATCTCCACCAAACACTCTTATAAGCCTTAAATGAAGTAGAAGACTTAAAAGCTTGTTTGGTAGAGATTAAAATCGAATTAAAATTTAAAAACTAGCTATTATTGTTGACTTTTATTAGACGAGTGAGATCAAATAATTGCTATATTTTTAATTTTAATTTGATTAAAATCCCTCACAAACAAACTCTTAGAGTATATCGACACAAAGTCAGACCCTCGAATTCTTGTCCAATGATTATAAACTTGAATCTTAATAAAAAAAGACAAGTATAGTTTAACTAACATGTTGAACTTCTCTTCCATGGACAGATCTCTCGAATCTACGGATGCTGCTATATCCTATGAAGAGAATAGACAAAGAGGTTCGTGCCGTTATGGAATGCAAGAGTAATAGGAAAAATCCAGGAGATTGATTGATTAAAGGGAAGATTACATATTCAAAAGAATACGTTTAGCCTATTTCAAAAATAAGAAAACAAGTTTGAAATTTCCAAAATCAAATTTTTATTAAAAAATTTTAAATTTTTATTTATGAAATAAATTAATTTATTATTAAATATTTAATTCTAATATAATATAATTAACCCATCTCACCTTC